ACTTTATCACACGATGAAGGGGTAAAGGGCCGTTCCGGCCTCAGGCAACCCGAACCACCTAACAGAACAGAACAGAACTTGAAACCGTCTTGAGATACCTTTTCATAGATGAAGGTTAACATAGTCAATAATTATATTTCCCTTCCATAATCAACTTATATTCCGACTTTCATCGCATCAGAGCTAAAATTAACTTTAAATAACTCAAATTATGTTCTCCTATTTGAATTCGAGAGCAATGTCTCCAGTTTCCCATCGCTCGCCAACCTTGGAACAGCTTGCGCAGTTCTTTTCAGATCTCGCTCGCTCATCTCGTCTGTCCTCAAATTAAAATTGCAAGCATATATGCTGAAAAAATTCAAAATAGAATTATAATTACACGTATGTGTTTTAATACCAAAAATGGAAATTTAAATCGAAATAGCGTTATTTTTGTTTTCTTTTATTTATTCTTTTAATTTTTTTTACTGTTTAATACTTTTAAAATGTGTAAATGGACAGTTTTAATTCTTCTAAAAAGAAATAATCATTAAAAAAAAAGAACAAAAAAGAAGGACCCATATATCACATATTCTGAAAAATGTAAAATTAAACACATTTTTAGTTTTTTTTTGCTTATGTTGTTAAGTGTGGTTAAATTTTTTAGGGTTAACATATCTGTGAATAAATCAATAAGATTCTTACGTGCCCGTTTTATATTCTTACTAGTTTTAATATAAATAATGTAAATTTCAATCTGACTCATAAATGTAATTGGTTCAAAGCTTTCTGGTTTCGTCAAATGTTTTGATTTAAGGCCGAATCGAAAATCCTACAAAAAAGGATTTAGGAAAAAAGAAAAATTTGTTTTGAGTATTTTTAATTTATGAAGGCAGATAAATGAAAGGTAAATGCTTTTCAGTTTCACCTACTTTGTAAGGATTGTAAGGATGCAGCTTTGTAAGGATTTTTATCTATACTGATCTCTATAGTGATTCGTCACGTAATGATAACATTTAATGTTGTCGTTTTAATATTTGTGATATTTAACAATTGTAGTTTTATAAAAATATGTATCTAAATAAGTAATTATGGAAAATCTTGCATGTGTAAGTTTATTGGCTGTTCCTTAAAGACTGCACTGAATATTTATTTATGGAATCTTTATCAAAAATAAAGTAAAAAAAGAAGAAGAAATTAATTTCATCGTTATAAAATGAAATCAAATGTTTACGTTAAATATAGTAAGAGTGTTTGTATTGTATTTATAAATTAAACAAAAATCAAAAAATGAAATTCTAGATATTCATTTTTCTCATTTCCAGTGAGTTAGAATGAGTGTTAAAAATTCGCAATTACGTACTTTTGCACTCTGGCTATTTTGTCTTCAAAACCTTGTGTGGTTCAGTTTTATTTCCCATTGAAATATTAACCTTTTCTATTTTTTTTATTTAGTATCTACTCTTACCTTTATATTTTGCTTTTAATAGCATCTTTGGGCAAAGATAATTAACGTATATCCCGGTGTGTAAGTCAACCTCCTATTTTTGATTACGGCATAGCAAATTTTCAGTGCGCTGTGTGTACAGGTTGACTTATCGACTGCTGTCGATAAGTCAATTATTATTCCTATATACTCTCAGAAATAAAACTATCACTTTTGACGATTTAACAATCCTTGAGCAGCATTTCGCTAATTTTGGGAATCATTTAATCACGCAATGACGTGTTTTATCAGGAAATACGGACTCTTGCGGAACTTGAAACCTCATCGAATTGCATTATGGGAGATTGTTAACTAGAAAGAAAAAAAACTAGAATAAAGACTAAAACTAAACTAAACTCAGTGGCGCGACAGCCCGTAGGGGGCCAAGGCCTACTATGCCCATCTCAGTTTTCTTGACCTTTGGGCTCTGAGGTGCAAGAGCAGATGTTCCGGTTGGGTGGTCAGCCCAGCGCGGAACCCCCAGTGTTTTGTTCCCAAGCATGCTTGGTACTCATTTTATCGACCCACTGAAGGGATGAAATGCTGAGTCAACCTTGTCCGTCCAAGGATTGAACCAGCGACCTGTGGCACGACAACGCGAAGCGCTACCGCTCAGCCATCGGGAGTCAGAATAAAGACTAGACAATCAAGAATAAAGTAACAAGTTTAGCCACCCGGGATATAGGGTGGTAGAGGAGTTGCCCTCGTATCAGGGAGATCCGGAGTTCGAATCCCAATTCGGGCATGGGTGTAATTCATCTCTGTGTTTTATTTGTTTTCTTGGTGATATTAAGGTGGCATTGACCCAGCTATATGATGCCAAAGATATAGTGATTGATAAAAGAGTTAGATACATTAAGCACTAAGGGTTCTTTTTTTGTTGGGGGGAGGGATAGAATGACAAAATACTGATGTGCTGTGCGACCTATATATAGTGCTCGCGATAAAGTGAAGAGAAAAGGTTAGAACGTTAGAGAATAAAGAACACTAGGCACTTTGAAGTTAGGCACTTTGAAGAAAGGAGGGGATAGAATGACAAAATATTTCCTTAATATTGATTAAATTCGTTTCCTCGAAGAAGTGAAGATAGTTATTTCGTCAATATGACGAAAATTTCGCTAGCAGTATATACGAGGAAACGGTTTCGTCAAGAATTTTGTGGTATTTGTGTACCATTAATTTTTAACAGTGTGCGTGTCATGTGTCAAATGATAGTGAAAGAGTGGCAGAATGTAAATTCAAATATTATCATAAAATTGTTTAATAAGTGTTTAATTTCGAGTTCTTTGGATGGAAGACAATTTTTGCGGGATCCAGTGATCCAGTGGATGAGGTTGAATCCTTTGCAGATTGGGATTACTTATGACGACAGTATTAACCCACTGATGCAAAATTTTTGTTAAAAATAATTTTCATAATTTTTCATAATTTTATTTTAATTTTGTTCAAAATAAGTGAAAATATTATTTATTTAGTATTATACTTATTAATTAATTTAGTATTAAATATTATTATATTTAGTATTTTAGTAATTTATTCTTATGAAATGCAGCACGAACCACCAGTATGTTTTTCCTGCGTTAAAGGTAAAATCTTCCAATCACGGCTTACTTCCAAACAATACTTTTTTCCAGTTTGCACCTATTAAAGTTATTTAGATCTATAAAAAACAGTTATTCATCATTGAAATTTACTTACTTTACAAAATTAGTTATTGGTAAATTTTTTAATATGAATGAAAATTTATTTTCAAACTGTTTTTTTAAGATTTTATTTTTCAATACATTCGGACATTATCGAAATATCATTCCGATAATCTCACAGATTTTTTTAATAACTATTAGAATGTTTTTTATAATGAAAAAAGAACCAAAGTATATTTTAGCTTGTAATTCGAACGTGAGAAAAATAAATAAAAGGAACACCGGTGTTCTGACTGCGTCAAAGGGATGACGTTATTGAATCCCACACAGATGAGGAATCTTTAAATCTGGTAGCCTTATTGTTGGTTTTAAAAGTATCCATTGTGTTATTTTTGAAATACTCTTGAATGCAGGTATATCTGCTTTTTTATACTTTTTGATTTAAATTCTTTTTTATACTTTTGTATTGTTTCTAAATTCTTGTATTGTTGAGTTTCAAAATTAATTACATATAACACATTAAAAATAGTTTTTGAAAGGAGTATCTTTATGCAGAGTCATTCGTATTTATCTCATTTTTAATTTACATCGATAAATCGTGATCAACGAATGTCCGCCCCTATTTGTCGACCCCTGGTTTTCGTAAAATTTTGGGATTGGAAAAGTCGACTTATACACCAGTATATAAGGTTATTTATAAATTTATTAAATAATTTATTTTATTATATGTCTGAGTAGATTAAAGGAACATTAAATATACAACGTTTTTTAGCATTATTATGTTTTTATTGATTTCAAAAAACTCCAAATTATACAATACAAGTTGTTGAAGTTGTTGATACAAATAGATTTTAAAATTGTTGCACAAAATTATATAGAAATGCAATTACAATTTCCAATTTTCACAAGTGATAAATTTATATCAGTTGAGTACAAGATTATGTAGTAAAAAGATTATAAAAATAGACTAGCAATATTTAATTTTTAAAACAATTGCTAAAATAGCTTTTTAAAGGGTATATAAATTGCATTATACATGTGTTACAAAAATATATCACATCATTAGTAAGTAAAAATTCACATCATTTTTAAAAATGAAAATTTTCCTTTTGGATTAATAAAAATTCGAATATAGATGAATAATAGAAATATATAAAAAAAATATAAAAAATCTCTACACTATTGAGTAGCATTTGATTTTATATATATAAAAAAAAGCGAAATTTCTTCAAAAATAAAAATTGTAATACATAAAAATATTAAAAACATAACAAATCAACTCATGAATAGCTTGTATAGTCTTATTATCAAGAGCAAAATAACATCAGATTTTTTTAAATATAAACTGTAAATAGATGGAAGTAAAAATTTAAAAATAATTAATGGATAAATACTATCAAAATTTTCTTTCAGGAAAAAAATAAGCGAAATTTAAAAAAATTAAAAGAAGTATTATAAAGAGATTATAAGAATATATATCAAATCAGGGTCTAACTATATATAGAACTGTATAGTTTCTATAAAAAGTATAAAAAATAATAAACTGAAACTTTAGATCAATGTAAAAAACTTTATAAATCGATTATATAAAAATAAAACATTATTTAGAATAGTTATTTTTTAATTTAAAATAATTAATAAACAATATTATGATCAACGTTTTATCAATAATAATTAGGCATTTAATGAAGAATACTTAAATAAATTACAAATAATAAAACTCAATTACAAAATAATTTTTTTTTCTTGTTTTAAAATCCTTTCAGAGTCTTTTAATAAATTCTCTTGTTGTCATTAATTCTGCCGTTGTTTTGAAAGTCGCCATTGTACTGACAAAACAGTTTAGAGTTTCAAATGAAAATTACTTTTTTTAATTTGTAAATTGTAGATTCTTTTTAATAATCGATCGTATTTTCTAATTTAGTTCGTTTGCTTTGGAGATCTAAGGGGATGGCAAACAATCTTTGTATTTATCTCTCAGACTTTTATCCACGCTATTATTTCTGAACAGACGTTCGAAAACCTCAACAGCTAACAGTAAATTATATTTTGGCTGACAATGAGGTTTTACAAACAAGGAGATCTTACTCCGAATTTTATTTGCTTTGAATTCAATCTTCTTTAAGAAATTCTTTTCTAACAAATCCTTTGGCGTATTCTTATTCTTGTTTTGAAAACCTAGTTTATTAACAGTGAAGTAGTTTGTCTTAACAGTACGATCTATAATGACATCCATCATGGGATCGTCTGTTTTTAGACGAACCTTAGTTTCTGCGTGGAATATTTCTACTTGCAGCTCTTCTTTCATAGGTATATAGAATACTCCAGTATTAGAGCTATCGCCATCTAAACTTTTGCTAAAAAGAACTTCGTTTCTCTGATTTTTCACGCTTATGCTAGCGTACTTCTCATTTTTAAAATAGCTATGAGGATTGCTTGAAAAAAATCTGAAGGTCATAATTTCTTTAAAGGGATTTGCTGTTAGGTAGGCAAAGTAATCATCACCTAGTCCAAGAAATTTGATTTTATCAAGTGGAAGAGAAGGCTCTTTCATTACTTTTGCTGTAAGAAGTAACTTATTCGCATTGTTGGCATGTACTATTGCATAAAAATCATCAAAGGCAAGTTTCGTATTCTTAGCGTTTGGTTCGATAAAAATCTTGTATACTCCTATAGGTACATCCTTAAAAGTGATACTTTGACTCTGGATTTTTTGCTGAGCTACTGTTCGAGATCCGTCCATCAATTTCAACATATCACCTGTTAATTCACCAAGTATTTGGTTATCTATGTTAAGAGTGAAATCATTTTTCAATTTAGTAGAACTCAAATCTGTTGGAGTCACCAAACTAGTTAAGTGATGTAGACCCAGGTTGTTATAAGCATCAAGCATTTCCTTGAGATCGCTTATGATGTAGTTCAGAGGATAGGCTACACTGGATAAAACATGGTAATGTTCATATAGCTGCTCTTCTTGTATTGCTGCTTTCGCCAGTTTCATAAATGGATAAACATCAAGAGCAAACTCAATTGCAAAGAAGTGCATCAGTTTTTCTAATAATAATGTGTCACTGGCATAATAAGGACGGCCATTAAATTCTTCGCGAGTCAGTTGGTTGAAACGTGAAAATGATTTCTGACCAGCTTTAAAAAACATGTGGGTTAAAAATGATAATTTTTGGATTAAATCCCAACTTTTGACTTCTGTTCCTTGTTTCAGTACTAGAGCAAGGTTCATTGCTTTTTGTTTTGAACCTTTAGTTCTAATGTCCTTGCCAAACTTAATAGTTTGATAAAAGAAGCATAGAATATTGTTCCATACTTCATTAACAGATAACGTTTCATCACCTAGTTTCTTCAACTCATGTCCGTGACCAATTTCATGCAAAGCTCCCCAATTCGTTGGACTGATTTCCAGCCAGAAGTCTGTGACTGATCCGGCGTTCATAGCCGTGTACGGTTCATCGTAATACGCCAACCCAAATCCATTTTTGTCAGCTTTAATAAAAAACCTGTTTCTTACGTTCTGATCAGTCCCAGTTTCTTCGAACGACAACCCTATCAATTGACTGTAAGTGGTTAAGATGTTGTCGTAGAAAATAATTAAATCGTTGAGACGCTTGCCATCAGCTAACTTTCTCGTAGCTTCTTTGTCTATTTTCGGTATAAGAAGACCGAAATAATCGGATTCTACGTAAGCAAATTCTGCATCTTGGGAATCCCAGAGTGCAAAAAAATCTTCCTCCTTATCATCGAAACGATAGATGGGAAGAACTTTTGAACCAGTTGGATAGCTTAGTCTGATATCCCGATTGTCTGTTGGAGATTTTTCAAGGTACTCACAATCGACGAATGGAACACTCACAGAATCTAGTTTAAATGTTGATGCTCGGCCAGGCAGGGAACTTTTAATTGTAAAATTGCCTTCAGTCTTTCTGTCATCATTTAGGAGTCGTACTCGCACCTGGGTAAGACTCCTACTCTCCAGAGCGCATTCCATTTTATTGTTGGCTGCCAATATGATTCCAACTGGTATTCGATGATGGCCAAGGCCTTTTGTCATAGGAAAGTCATACCAGACAGGTTTTAGTAGCCAAGGAGCTTGAAGTCTCTTGCTTGACGTCATTTCAGTTTATCTGTAATGGTAAAAACTATGTTAGTTTAACTTTTTTTAGCACCTTTTTACAGCAATATTACGAAATGGTTTTTTTTTCGTTATTTATCTCAATCATATTGCTCATTGTTAGAAACCACTACTTTTATAAATTCTGTACGTGAATTTTAATTATATACTTAAAATAACGTCAAAAATCAGCACAAATTCTGGCTAATATTAGAAAGAGGCTTTTGGATTTGCTTTAAAAAAGCAGTAAATTTTGTTATGAAAGACGTTTTGTAATGAAATCTTTTAATAAGTAATTTTGAGCCGCGATGGCTTGGCACAGGTATAGAGCATTCGCCTTTCAACGAAGTGAACTAGGTTCGAATACAAGCGATGGCTGGTCGATACGAATCCGCATCCGGCTTGCACAGATCACAGTGCTGACGTGAAGTATCCTCAGTGGCAGTCGGATCATGGGTTAAAGTCCCTTTACCGTTAGGCTAACAGTAGGAGTTTCTCGTTGTCTTCCTTTCCATGTAAGGCAAATGTGGGTTAGTTCCATCAAAAAGTCTTCCACGAAAGCAAATTTCTCTCAATGCTTGATCCAGCAGTTAGCTCCCTTGTCTTCTAGATTGGGTTCGAAATTACAAGGCTGCGTAATTAAATATTGGTAGTCGTAAACCTGAAAATCGGGTCGGCTGTTTAACAACGGTTATAAAATAAAATAAGATAGGTAATTTTATATTCCTCACTTCAAGTAGTGGCAAAAAAGTATATCCATTAAATGTCGCTAATTAATATGCAAATAATGAAAAAAAGAACATGATTTAATAGGAAAACCAATGCAGAAAAAATCTTAATTAAAAACCTTAGTACAGTGTAGTTTATTGATATTTGCTCGAGGAAAAAAAAATAGAAATTCACCAAATCTTGAATGCCAAGAAAATGACATATTAGCTTGGAAGTTTAAAAATCAGTCATTTTAAGTTAATAGTTAGTAACTCAACTTAGGCCCTTACGTTAGATGGACCATAAATTGCTTAAATAAATTTTTTTTATCCACTGTAGGAGGAATTAAAATTTTTTTTGTTGCTGATATGTACAGAATAAAATTGTGTATAATAATCAATCATTAGATAAATAAATAACTTTGATTACACTCACACATATTACAATCATTCATAAACTTGGTATTAGGTTAATATTTGCTTTCCCACCTTACAGTATTAGCAGTTAAAAAAAATCTGGTAACACTTCAATGTTCTGGCATTGATAAGTCAGGAAAATGACAGCCAGGATAATGACAAATGCTCCATTTTATACCATATAACTTTAATTTAATATTTTGGCCTAAGACGTTTATATTCTACAGAAAACAACAGGATTTCTTAAAATAACTCTTAAAATAACTCTTAAAATAAATCTATCTATTTTATGTTATTAACGATTTCAAGAAGCCAGGAAAATGACAACACAAAAACCTACTCACCTTGAAAGAGTTTTTGAAATAGATTTTGAACCAGAAAATTGGTTCTTTATTCATGCAACAAGACATATTCATATAGGAGGGCATCTAATCAATCTATTAACATAAGCTATTGATTGCTGGTTCTATCTATTTTGGTTATAAACCACTAAATAAAAGTAGCCAGGAAAATGACGGATTTTCTTGGGACAAACAAATTACTGACAGGAAAAATTATTTTAAACGAAGTTTTTGTAAATAATATCCTCTATGTATATTCTAGAAATGCTTACACAGGTTGAGATAAAAAAAAATTAGATATTGAAAAATGTATGGGAAGTTTTGAAGCTTGTTATTATTGGAAACACTGTTTGGGACATAACAGGAAAATGACATTTTGAAGTTCAATTAAATTTTTTAACTATACAAAACAGTCAATGCTTGTGCAAAATCATTTTAAAATGCTGACAGCAATGCTATTTATTAATTTTTTTTTTAAAGTTTTTTTAGTATTATAGTACTAGATCTTGGAACAAGGGACAGTGAATTGTCATATTTCGTGAGAATCACCCATATATATATTTTCATAAAACTACAGAAACATGGTAGAATATTATAATATGTATAATATGTTCTAAAATTTTAATTTAACATGAATTCCTCTTTAATTCTTTAAACAGTATTAAACACTTAACTTGCCTGAACTGAAAAAAAATAAAAATATAAACCGACTTGGGAGAACTATGGAAATTAAAAATAATTAATTAAATGTATATGTTATTAAAATAAATTAATAAATTTTATTAATTACGTTCACATAAAAATATTGTACTAGCTCACATAAAAATATTGTGGTAGCTTTCTGATTTTTAAAATAAGAAGATTGAAATATTATAATGCACCTAAATTTATAACGTACCTAATAAGCCCTGTTATCTTTTCAATGTGTTTGATTTCTTCAATTCCTTCCTTTCCAGAACACTTGCTATTCTAGATTTTTCTATTCAACAAGGTGCAAGTGCTATTCATTTAAAGAAGTTTACCTAAATAAATATATCAAAATACTTGCTTAGTTATACATATTTCAAAATACTTATTATTATATAATTAAAAATATTAAAAAAATAGCTACCTATTTACTCAAAATGAAAAAAAAAAGAGTTTTAAACTAAGAGATTTTTAACAAACTACATGTCTATCCCACAATACTTTATTTTATATAACTGGTGCTGAACAGTCGACCCAAGTTTTAGTTTATGACTGTCAGTGTTCGAATCTGTAGTCTCATACCCAGTCCATAAGACAAGGGAACTTCTGGATCATGCATTGGGGCAAACTAGATTTCGTGAAGAGCTTTTTGATGGAACTTTGCGTTACACGAAGAGAAAAACCACGAAATCTTTCTTGGTTTGCCCGACGGCAAGGGGATTCCAACCCGTGATCCGTCTATCGCTGAGGATATTTCACGACAGAATTGTGGTCGATTCTGTCGTAAGAAGCAGAATTCATATCTACCAGCCACACCCCTGGGATTCGAACTTGGGTTACCTCATTAAGAGGCGAACGCTCTATCCTTTGAGCCATATGGCTTACAACACCCTACTAACGCTAACTAATCTCCAGAGCAATCACATGTAGTTCGCAAGGTTGGCACTGTGAACCAAGCTCACTCAGCTCGCCAGCAAGTTAGACCAGTTAAAAATTTAGCCTAGCATTTGAATACATAACATAGTGAAGAAACAACATTAAGACAAAAATTATTGCAGAATATAGGCATTCTTCTTTTTCCCGAAAATGAGCGTAAGAAAACTACATATTTAGGTCATGGCACCTGCAATCTCAATTTTTCAGAGCTTTTACTTACCAAAAGTTTTCTAAATAAATAGTATTTTAATACCAAATATATAGATCGCAAAACACAATTTCTTTGAATAGTTTGTCATACAATATTTTATTTTTATTATTGCTTATGTCTATTTCTATAGTGTGAAACATTTTTCAAAACTGAAAAAGGCAACTTAAGGCTTAACTGGGTATAGCTCTTTCCAAAACATTTTCAACCACTTAAGCACCTTTGCATTGAATATTTTCTATAAACAATTCCTTGCCGTACTGCTGTTGCTGTCTGTGAACAATATTGAAGACAATATATTTTTCTATCGTTTAGCATAGTGTTTTTGATACTTCTGCTTCAAAATTTCATTTTTTAAATTTTTCATGAAGTTAGACTAGTTAAGTTTATACAAAAATATAAGTAAGAGAAAAAAATCCTATCCTAGTTTCTAGAAAATATCTTCAAAATTTAATGCAGTCAAAACAAGATAGAAATCAGATGAAAAGTTCCTGAAGCATCGATGAGAAGAGGAAGTTAAGCGAGAGAGGACGATTGAAGTTAGGAGAATCGTGTTTTCATAGAAGAGACGATTGAAGTGAAAAAAATCCTCTTTTCAAACCTAATACGATTTAAATTAGGAGAATCGTAATTTCTACATATTATCGTATTCCGGAATGGTTTTTGTAAGTCCTTCAAAGCTACTAATTTCAAAACATGTTTTTTGAAAAATAGTTTGGTGCGTTGTTATAACCTTCCAGGTAAATTTATCCTTTTAAAAAAGCAAGAGAGAAAAATGCACGAATATGTGAATTTCTTAAATAAGGTTAAAAATGCATGGAAGTATATTTAATTTTAGCACTTTTAACTAAATATATGAGACAGAGTTCGAAAGATGTCAATTAATTAATGTCTCATTCAATTAATTCTAATCATAAATTCTTCTGTAAGGTGAGATTTCCTGTTGTTCTCATCCCCATGACCAGCAGAGCTAGATCAGGTCCATGAGCTCGCTTACTTTGAGAAAGTCTAGCACTCACAGGGGAGCTTGACAAGATAAAATGTAGTCGGGGGAGGCCTGGGCAGCAGAACACTTAGTGCAGATTTCGAAGTGTTTATTACCATCGTTATAAGTCATTGATGACAGATGTCCATTGAGGAAACGAGTAATGGCAGTTTGTTCTCGTCTGCTGCCGCCCCGAGCCAAGGAGCCCCCTGGGCACCTGCCTTTCATATTCTTTGCCTTACATTTAGAAAAATGCTCCAAGTAAGTAAGAGGAGCGACAGTCGTAATGGCTTCTTCAGCACCTACTTTGGCCAAACGGTCGACAATCTCATTTCCAGCTGCTATATCGACATGTGACGGAATCCACTGAAAGTGGATTCGATGAGAAAGGGAAAAATGTTTTAGTTTCCTGAGAATGTCAGCACCAACACTGTCCGTGACATTATGCCAATCGGCAAGGTGCTGGATAGCACTTTTTGCAGCACCAGGTGCTCTATCCAGCACCAGGTTCTGTATAGAGATTTCCTAAAGAATCCAAGTTTTTTAATTGTATTACGAAAAAAGCGGAAGTTTATATTAATTTTTTAAAATTATGTGTCTTGGGGGAGGGGGTGGTGGAGAGCATTGAGGATTTCAGTTATAGGTTAAAATAATTTGCCAAAAATAAATAAAAAATAAAATAAAACAAAAAAAAATCCCGCATGTTATAAGCAATTGGATATTTTCCACTTAGCTACTAAAAAAAAATCAATTTCTCAACATTCTTTAAAGGAAATTGAGAAGGAATTTTTGGTATACAGTGAAATTGTAAGCCTTATTTTAAATAGAAAAGTGCATTTTTGTATTCTTGCTGCTAAGAAATCGCAATCTCCGGTTATCATAGTAACGTCCCTTTCACCTTCCATAATATGGTATTTATTTCGCGTCATTATGGCCTCCTGTTATAAAAGTGGAATTTTGTAAGAGATTAAGGTAGCAAATGGGGAAATACATTTAATAGTTTTTCTTTTAAAATACCGGGTGATCCTTTTTTAAGAAGTCCTTTTTTAACACCCATAAGTTTAATTATATCTTCGTACGGTGATCTAAGAAATAAAAGATTTCATACGGTATTACTATTTTGTTCCTACCATTTAACATTTCCTTAAAAAGTACTTGCTATATTAGATTAAGCCTGAAGTCTTTTTATTCAATTTCCTTGAGCGATTTTTTATGTTTAATGTTTTAACAGATATGAACAAAAGTATTTAATTTCTTAAAACAAATTTAGAATTTAGTTTCTTTTTTGAAACTTAGTTTAATTATGACTAAAAACATAATGAATGTAGCATAGTTTTTTTAGAGCATGGAAATTTTATATCCAATAAAAAAAAGTTACATACCAGATTTTAGAACGGTATAATAATTACTGGGATTCGAACGCAGTTCACCTCATTGGAAGGCGAAAATTGGTTTCAATGTTTCACAATATCTGAATTGCTACATACTATTAAAAATTCCGGATCAAATTACGGTATAAAGTATCGGCACTTTCGCAAAACGCATTTTTACCGTAAAATAATATATCGTGTTTTTCACAGTGGTATTTATTTAATTAGAAAGAGGCAGTCATTTTTCGGTAATATTTACTTGAAAAATTATGATATATCGCAATACTGTAAAAATTACGGTATATCAGATTTTTTGTTCCGTAACATGTTCCGGTTAAAATGGTTGTTACAGTAACAAATACCGGTACCCGCAGAGTCGGTACTTTTTATCGTAATTTGATTCGGAATTTTTTACAGTAAAGTGGTAGTATTTCGTTTATATTTTATGGAACGTGTCGAAACAATGCAATCATATTTCGCGTTTACGCACATTAAACCTATATTCTCATTGTCTACTTATTTGAATTTTTTTACATTTGATTGTTTTGTTCCTTTGCTTTATCGATGCAAGTGATTTGTTCTTTTGTCGTAATTGTGTATTTTTTTCCTATTATCACATCGTTACCTACAATTTTACTACTGAATGATGATCAATCAGAGATGAATAAATTTTAGAAGATAATGTGTTCATTGATAGATAATTGCTGAAAACATAAATATCTCTAAATAATTCAAAACCTTTTACTTTATGCGACTAGCTAAAAATTTTCTGATACGTTTTACATTTTTTTAAAATAATTTTTTGATAGAATTTGGGTCTGTTTTAAGCCACGGAGCTTTTGTAGCCCTCTCCCAATTTTTTCAATTTTTGAGAAGTTTAATGTTGAGTGGCTAACGGTTGTTTATCATTTGACAGGTAATCTTTCGATTAATTCAATTGTAATTTTCACGCGACGTTGTTATTCTTCATTTAATAATTATTTTATCAATATTTTAAGTATTCCTTTCATAAAATTAAACTACAATAAAAAAGCTAAAATATTAAACAATAGTAAGATACAATTTACCATTTTTGCAAATTTAGGGAGCATTGCTACTGAATGTGGTTTGATTGTTCTATTTTAAAATAAGCAATCAAATTCTCAGCCTTCAAATTTCATAAAATTCTCAATCTTCAAATTTATATTTAAAAAAAATTTGGATGAAAAAGGGACAAAAATACTGTTGGTGAAACATCGGTATATAGTTTGTATTAAAACTAAAAAGTTGCTTTCAAAACATTTGAATTCCGCTGAAACTTATTTATTTATAACAAAAAGAGAAAGAAAGAGTATCTCTACTCTTCTCTTAAGATAAAAATTGATTAAACTCTTCAGTTTGTTTCCGAACGGCACCGTCTAAAACAGTTTGGAGCGGCTACCCATTATTAAAATTATTTTTGCGTCGTTTTTCTCTAATTTGCACAGGCATTTAAAAGAATTGGAAAATAAAATTAAATTTTTGAGGGTATAAAAATAAAATTTTTGATATCTTATACAGGTCATTTTGTAGACCTCCAAAACCTTTATGGTCAACCCAAGTACATTGTCTGCCAATGGTCAGTCTAAGGAAAGATATTTTATGGGTTTAATCAATTTTTGTACTTCAGCTTTCTCGATGCCTGATGCGAAAGTGCCTTCAGCAAATGTGCCTGTATAAGAGCCATTTGCCAATTAGAAGCAATCAGGGGATCAAAATTCATTCTGAGCAATTAAAGATCCTACATATAATGATGTTTTAAAAATTCTTGTAAAGAAACTTATCAGTCAGAAAGTGCTCTGAAAAATTTCCGATCTGATAATTTCCAACAGGATTTTTTCTAAGAATATAAATCTATTCAGACAAACATCACCAGCGTTGAACTTATTCAGATATTTTTCATTTGCTTAATTAAAAAAAATGGTCTATTGATAATTACAACATTTAACTTAACTATTTCATTTAATCTTATTGCTATTCTGTGTGAAGTTATTTTAAGATTTATATAGAAAAAAATTAATCAAAAAAGCTAAAATAAATACTTTAACAAAAAGAAATTAGAAAACTTACTTACCAAGATTCACGAGCGTTCAAAAAAAAACTCACGTGTATGATTTAGTAACGGTGTTGTTTCAACTCAGCAAAATGTTATAATATATACCCATTCTTATCTCATTACAATTTAATATCTCATTACATTTTCTTATCTCATTATATTTAAAGATGCAAATATGAATGTTTTAAATAGTAACAAACTACATGATACAATTTATTTAGTATTGATAACAATATTATTTATCAGGTATTTCTCAAATTTGTTTACGCATAGAACTTCCTACATTCTATTATCCATTACGGAATCGTCTTTTTTAAAAATAAGTTCCAACAAAGCAAGCATTTATCAATGCGTTTTCTGATTTGCAAAATTTTAGCCTTGGTTATTTAAATATAGATGAGTAAAATATTTATCACTTGTTATCTGAAACAACCGCATCGTGATTTCTTATGTAGTTGTTTCAGGTAAGCGAAGTGTTGTTTTTACTCATAAATATGAGAAGAATGATGTGATCAAGGTGATTCTATATCATTTTTGGTCACTGATGTAATACCTATGATATTTCAGATTCTCAAATAATTAAATAAATGAATAATTCTCAAATATTTAAATTAAATTAAATTAAATTAAATTAAATATGAGAAGAATGATGCGATCAAGGTGATTCGATATCATTTTTGGTCACTGATGTAATACCTACGATATTTCAGATTCTCAAATAATTAAATAAATGAATAATTCTCAAATATTTAAATTAAATTAAATTAAATTAAATTAAATATGAGAAGAATGATGCGATCAAGGTGATTCGATATCATTTTTGGTCACTGATGTAATACCTACGATATTTCAGATTCTCAAATAATTAAATAAATGAATAATTCTCAAATATTTAAATTAAATTAAATTAAATTAAATTAAATATGAGAAGAATGATGCGATCAAGGTGATTCGATATCATTTTTGGTCACTGATGTAATACCTACGATATTTCAGATTCTCAAATAATTAAATAAATGAATAATTCTCAAATATTTAAATTAAATTAAATTAAATTAAATTAAATATGAGAAGAATGATGCGATCAAGGTGATTCGATATCATTTTTGGTCACTGATGTAATACCTACGATATTTCAGATTCTCAAATAATTAAATAAATGAATAATTCTCAAATATTTAAATTAAATTAAATTAAATTAAATTAAATATGAGAAGAATGATGCGATCAAGGTGATTCGATATCATTTTTGGTCACTGATGTAATACCTACGATATTTCAGATTCTCAAATAATTAAATAAATGAATAATTCTCAAATATTTAAATTAAATTAAATTAAATTAAATTAAATATGAGAAGAATGATGCGATCAAGGTGATTCGATATCATTTTTGGTCACTGATGTAATACCTACGATATTTCAGATTCTCAAATAATTAAATAAATGAATAATTCTCAAATATTTAAATTAAATTAAATTAAATTAAATTAAATATGAGAAGAATGATGCGATCAAGGTGATTCGATATCATTTTTGGTCACTGATGTAATACCTACGATATTTCAGATTCTCAAATAATTAAATAAATGAATAATTCTCAAATATTTAAATTAAATTAAATTAAATTAAATTAAATATGAGAAGAATGATGCGATCAAGGTGATTCGATATCATTTTTGGTCACTGATGTAATACCTACGATATTTCAGATTCTCAAATAATTAAATAAATGAATAATTCTCAAATATTTAAATTAAATTAAATTAAATTAAATTAAATATGAGAAGAATGATGCGATCAAGGTGATTCGATATCATTTTTGGTCACTGATGTAATACCTACGATATTTCAGATTCTCAAATAATTAAATAAATGAATAATTCTCAAATATTTAAATTAAATTAAATTAAATTAAATTAAATATGAGAAGAATGATGCGATCAAGGTGATTCGATATCATTTTTGGTCACTGATGTAATACCTACGATATTTCAGATTCTCAAATAATTAAATAAATGAATAATTCTCAAATATTTAAATTAAATTAAATTAAATTAAATTAAATATGAGAAGAATGATGCGATCAAGGTGATTCGATATCATTTTTGGTCACTGATGTAATACCTACGATATTTCAGATTCTCAAATAATTAAATAAATGAATAATTCTCAAATATTTAAATTAAATTAAATTAAATTAAATTAAATATGAGAAGAATGATGCGATCAAGGTGATTCGATATCATTTTTGGTCACTGATGTAATACCTACGATATTTCAGATTCTCAAATAATTAAATAAATGAATAATTCTCAAATATTTAAATTAAATTAAATTAAATTAAATTAAATATGAGAAGAATGATGCGATCAAGGTGATTCGATATCATTTTTGGTCACTGATGTAATACCTACGATATTTCAGATTCTCAAATAATTAAATAAATGAATAATTCTCAAATATTTAAATTAAATTAAATTAAATTAAATTAAATATGAGAAGAATGATGCGATCAAGGTGATTCGATATCATTTTTGGTCACTGATGTAATACCTACGATATTTCAGATTCTCAAATAATTAAATAAATGAATAATTCTCAAATATTTAAATTAAATTAAATTAAATTAAATTAAATATGAGAAGAATGATGCGATCAAGGTGATTCGATATCATTTTTGGTCACTGATGTAATACCTACGATATTTCAGATTCTCAAATAATTAAATAAATGAATAATTCTCAAATATTTAAATTAAATTAAATTAAATTAAATTAAATATGAGAAGAATGATGCGATCAAGGTGATTCGATATCATTTTTGGTCACTGATGTAATACCTACGATATTTCAGATTCTCAAATAATTAAATAAATGAATAATTCTCAAATATTTAAATTAAATTAAATTAAATTAAATTAAATATGAGAAGAATGATGCGATCAAGGTGATTCGATATCATTTTTGGTCACTGATGTAATACCTACGATATTTCAGATTCTCAAATAATTAAATAAATGAATAATTCTCAAATATTTAAATTAAATTAAATTAAATTAAATTAAATATGAGAAGAATGATGCGATCAAGGTGATTCGATATCATTTTTGGTCACTGATGTAATACCTACGATATTTCAGATTCTCAAATAATTAAATAAATGAATAATTCTCAAATATTTAAATTAAATTAAATTAAATTANATATATATATGAATTATTTTGCAACATGTAGGTACATTTTTTAAAACATCCAAAGTTGTGAAAAAGAAACAAATAATTCGGGAAAAAAAAAGAAAGATAAAGATTTCCTAGTAAAATTACTGTGATAAAGTGCACAGTAAACGTAAATATGTTGACCTATTTTAATTCTTGCAGATAAATTAAAATGACTTCAAAAAAGAAGCTTCAGGTCCCATGGCTACCAGCACCTGTCTGGAAAGACTTTCCCATGACCAAAGGTCTCGGACACCACCGAGCTCCAATTGGAATCATTCTAGCAGCCAACCAAAAGTTAACATGCGTCTTAGAGAGTAAAAGTCTAAATCAAGCTCAAGTACGTCTCCTCAACGATGATCGTAAAACAGAAGGCAGGTTTGATATTAAAAGTTCCCAGCCAGGTCGAGCAGCAACATTTGGCCTAGGATCTGTGAGTGTTCCATTCTTAGAATGTGAGTACCTTAAGAAAAATCCAGAAGATAGTCGCACTGTACTTATAGGGTATCCATCTGATTCGAAAGTTCTTCCAATTTACCATTTTGGTGATAAAGAGGAAGATTTCTTTAAGCTCTGGGATACTCAAGATGCAGAATTTGCTTACATAGAATCAGATTATTTCGGATTTCTTATTCCGAAAATAGACAAGGAGGCTGCAAGGAAATTACCCGAAGGCAGAAATCTCAATGATTTAATTATTTTTTACGATAAAATCTTAACCACTTACAGTCAGTTGATAGGATTGTCATTCGAAGAAACTGATATAGATCAAAACGTACGAAACAGGTTTTTTCTGAAAGCTGACAAAAACGGATTTGGTTTGGCATATTACGATGCATCGTATACAGCTGTTAGGTCAGGATCAGTTTCGTTCTGGTTGAAAATAAGCCATACGAATTGGGGAGCGTTGCATGAAATTGGTCATGGACACGAACTGCACAGACTAAATGATGAATCGTTCTCCGTTGCTGAAACATGGAATAATATATTATGTTTTTTTTATCAGACAATTGTGTTTGGTAATGAAATGGTAACCAAAGGTTCGAATTCAAAAATAATGAACCTTACTGCAATACTCAAAAAAGGAACTGAAGTCAAAAGTTGGGATTTAATTCCAAAATTATCTTTTTTAACCCACATGTTTTTTAAAGCTGGTCAGAAATCTTTTTCACGTTTCAACCAACTTACTCGCCGAGAATATGCCGGCCATTCTTATTATGCTAGTGGGACATTATTAGTGGAAAAACTGATGCACTTTTTTGCAATTGATTTTGCCATCGACGTGTATCCGTTTATGAAATTGGTAAAAGCAGCAATACAAGAGGAGCAACTATTTGAACATTACTATGTTTTATCTAGTATAGCCTATCCTCTGAACTACATAATAAGCGATACCAAGAAGATGACTTCTGTTAAAAACAGCCTTGGTTTACTGTACGAAACAAGTTTAGTTACTCCATCAGATTTGCGTTCAACTGAACTGAAAAATGATTTTACTGTTAACATAGATAACCAAATATTTAGTGATTTAACAGGTGATATGCTGAAACTGATGGACGGATCTCGAACAGAAGCCGAGAAAAAAATCCAGAGTCAAAGTATTATTTTTAAGGATGTACCTATAGGAGTATACAAAATTTTTGTTGAACCAAATGCTAAGAATATAAAATTCTTCTATGGCGAGTTTTATGCCATAGTACACGCCAATAATCCGAAGAAGCTACTTCTTAGAGGAAAAGTATTGAAAGAACCCTCACTTCCGCTTGACAAAATCAAATTTCTTGGACTTGGTGATAGTTATTTTGCCTACTTGACAGCAAATCCTTTTAAGAAATTGCTAAATTTCAGATTTTTTTCAAGCAATCCACATAGTTATTTTAAAAATAAGAAATACGTTAGTATAGAGATAAAGAATCAGAGTAAGGAACTTATTTTTAGCAAAAGTATCGATGGCAATAGTTCTGCCCTTGGATCGTTTGACATACCTATGGATGGGGAACTGCAAATCGAAATATTTCACGCAGAAACAAAAAACCGCTTAAAAAATGACGATCCCATGATGGATGTAATAATAGATCGTAGTGTTAAGACCAACTGTTTCATTGCAAATGAACTAGGTTTTCAAAACAAGAATACGAAAACCTCGATGGAGTTGTTAGAGAAGAGTTTCTTAAAGAAGATTGAATTTAAAGCAAATAAAATTAAAAGCAAGATCTCCTTGTATGTTAGACCTCATTGCCAACCTAAATATAATTTACTTTTAGCCGTGGAAGCGTTTGAACGTTTGTTCAGGAAAAGCAGCGTCGATAAAAGTCTCAGAGATCAATACAAAGATTGTTTGCCATCCTCTTAGGTCTCCATAATAACGAGCTGGAAAAACGAATTCAACTGACCAGAAAAAATTAAACAATTTAATTCAAATTAAAAAATCATTTCGTTTTCTTAAAAAAATTAATCTATTTTTATTTAAGGAAATAAAAAACTTAAAATTAAATTTTGTAACAGTTTCGCTGAGTTTTTAAAAAATGTGCAAAATATTTCATTTCAATTTTCAATTGAATTTTAAAAATTGCAAAATAACTGTATTTGAAATATGTTTTACTAATTTTTAGTGACTATTTAAAAATTATTGAGGCACTGGCAGTTTGAGTTGTCATTCCTCGCTTCAATGTGAGAAATTGCTTCAAAATTATAGTAAATTACGAAATAGACATTCAATAATCTGTGGTTTTTTTTATACTTTTAGTTTATAAAACATTTTTTTTTCTTAATTCAACATGATATTTGGTATTATTAAAAATTAAGAGATACGTATTTCTGCACTGATTTGTTCAAAATTGTAGCATTACTGCAATTTAGTTTTGTTCACATGAAATTAAAAGAAACTAAAAAATATTTATGCACTTATTTGAAGTATTTTCATGATTTTGTCATTATAGAATTTATATGCTTTTTAAAATTCAAGTAGATTTTTGTTGAATGTAAAAAATTGCTATATAATTATGTATTCATTTTTTTTAGTGCAATGTGTATTTTTTAGAAAAAATATCAATTTGCTATTTGCCTTTACGGTGGGAAGCTGATCTATATCAGTATATTAATTATAAATACTTTATATAACCTATCTTCATTACAATTTGTATTCTTTTAAGAATTCAATCACACAATTTTAAAATTGAGACTAAATTATTAAACAGTAACATTATATTGTGATAGATTTTTATAATCTATTAATTTTGTGATGTATTTTTATACTCTATTTACTTGGTGATGTATTTTTATAATAATTTGTTTTATATTTTTATAATATTTAACGAAATTATAATTCATTATTTGTGATAAGAAAAATAAATATTACAAAATTTTATCAAATGATTTGTCTTATGTTTAATATTTATTTTTAATACTAAAAGCAATTATGAGATTTAAACCGATTCAGAGCACTTATTTTATTTTATCAAACATACATTTTATAATTTTCAAGTTTTAAATCCCAATAAAAATAATATATTTTATGTTTTCTGTGTCTCTGGTGTGACTGAAATTTAAACAAAAGTAATGTGGAGCACAAAATATTGGTTTCTGAAAAGATATTTTTAAAATTTTTGAAAATTCGTATTTATTTTTCAAAAACAATAAGAAAAGTGTACAAATAAGTTTAGAAGATATGAGATGCTGAATTTAATTTTACAAAGAACAGAAATATTAAGTTTGTTCATATTGCGTATCTACGCGGAGAAAACAATGCGGATAAAAAAAAAACTTATTATTTGGTAACGTCATTTCTGGTTTAAAAAAAATCATAATTCTGGTTAATAAAATCAAAATATGTGGTATTTAAACCCTCCATTTGGTAATTTTTTCATTCTATGGTAACAGTTTACTAGAAATTCTGATTATCAAAACTATAGTTCTTATTACCACACATTCAGTAAAAGATACAAAACTTCAAAATAAATGATTCCTATGCCATACTCTAAGGTATCATGACAAAGTTAAAAAAATTTTACCATATTTACCAAATATTACCACATATTATAATACCATATTTTATTTTTAATCTTACAAAAGCATTAGGAAAGCACTTTAAAGAAAAATTACCGAGCTTTCTGATGTTAACATAGAGTCAGAAATACGGTAAGTCTTACCATATCCTAGTTCATACTTTTTTCTCAGGATAGTGCCTATATAATTGTGACAAGAATATTTACCATTTTTCAATGCACGAATGATAAAAATATTTTAACAGGAATCAAAAACATAAAATTTATCATATGTTTCTGTTATAACATTATATTATATGTTAATGCTACCACAAAATTCCCTTTGTGCTTAAACAAAGGAATTAAAGCAAAAGGTTGAAAAAAGATAACTACGCAGATTAAACTACGCAAACCTAACGAAATATACGAAATACCCATACATCACAAAAATATATATTGCAAAAAAATTCGGTTACTTAGCTTCGAAATTCTTCAAAAGTATTCACGTGAAATATCCTCAGTGGTGGACGGATCATGGGTTAGAGTCCCCTTGCCGTCAGGCTAACCGTGGGATGTTTTTGTGGTCTTCCTCTCCATGCAATACAAATGCGGGTTAGTTCCATCAACAAAAATAAATAAATAAATAAATAAAAAAGAAATCCTCCAAGAAGGCAAATTTTTTCCCATTGATCCAGGTGTTCCCTTGTTTTCTGGATTGGGTTCAAAATTACAAGGCTACGGCGCTGAACAATAGTAGTCATTAACACAAAAATTGGGTCGGTCCTTCAACGATGGTTATAAAGTAAAGTAGTATTCAAAGAAACTTACAAAACTCTCTTAACAAAAGCTCATTCAAACAGAAAGTAGAGAAATTTTATTTTCTATTAACGGTATTGAGAACCTATTTTAACGTTATTTTTTTACCTTGCATGCTTTACAATATTTATAGTGCTTGCAATCTTTTACTTATACTTACTTATACACCCTGTTTGTCACTACAGTATGTTGTATGCATAATTGTTCTTTTTAATATTAAGTTTCATGTGTTGACTTTTTATTTTTTATGCAATTTTCTTTGCATTTAGATGGCGCAATTTCCATAATTCGACATGTGCCATATTGCTCAGTGATTTGTCTCATTTCGATAGCAATTTTGCTTATGTTTAAATATAAATTTGCGTTTCCCTATGAGAATACTTTTATGTTTTCATTTTTGATGCGGATTCTAAAAAAATGTCTATGTGGTTTATATGGAACAACCTATTTATGATGCCGATGATTACAGAACACAATATGTTGATACATGCCAATGATTACAGAACACAAAGTTATACCTAATGGTATGTTAGATCACAGCTTCAATTACGATTCAAAGTATATACAGTTCGTAAACTAAAGGAACGGATTGCGTTAGTATAACTTTTGATGTAGAAATTAGGTGCAGTCTTAATGGTATGAAAGCCTAGCCTTAAATATGCTAATTCATTTGCATGGACGATAATTAAAGTCACAAAATCAGATACAAAAATGTATTTTTTTGAATTTTTATATCCTTTTATATCCTTTTTATATCCTTAAATTGCGCAGAGTAGCCACAATCTGTAAAATATAATTACAATAGTTTAGTGAGGAATGCGGTTTTGGACACTTTAACGATAATTTCACTTTAGACCTAACCTTAAATATGCTAGCTTACTTACATGGAGGATATTTTAGGTCAAGAAATAAGATTCAAAAACGAATTTTGTTTTGAATTAACATGCCTTTTTTTTTTAAGGGATTTGGAATCATGATCATAAAATTCTGTAGGATCATATATCCATAACTATGTGCGCAAATCGACAAAAAACTACAACTATAAAACTCGCTTGTCTAAAAATATTTATCAGTTTCAAAAATATTTTTCCTATTTTATTTTTATTATTAAACTAATAAAGATGCTGAATAATTGTGTGTGTGTGTGTTTAGAATGTCCATGTATCGTTTTATTTGCAATTCACCCAGTAGATGCAACTCAAGAACGAACTGGATTACTTATTCTCCTTCGGTTTCGAACAATTTGTTTTATTTATTTCCCCCCAAAATAGACCAAAATCGCCATTTTATCCCTTAATTTAAAAAAATCAAATTACTTTTTTTAAAACCGAATTTCAATAGTCTATTAGCATCTGCAGCAAATATGATTTAGTTCAGTTTAACAGTTTTCTCGTTATTTGGGATTTTAAGACCTTGATTTTAATTTTGGTCACCCTGCTCTACCTAGAGAATTCTTTGAAGAATTGATCGATATAATCTTGATGTGACAATCCTTAAACGCCTTTAGAAACATAATTTGATTAAAAAATTGATTGTATGATTTACAACATTGTAAACAGATATTCTACTCAAAATAATCACTTACGTGTTTCGGTTACTATCAATGCTCTAATCATCCAAGAGATAAACGTTGTTACAATTTACGAAACTGGAAATAAGTATTGAGTGATGTAACTGGTATTTTTCATTTTTTTAAATCTTTATTTCCATTATCACAAGTTCACAAATTAAATTCCGTTGATAGTTTCTGAATGATTTCAAGGCTGTTGGTGATAGGAGCGATACTGATAAAGGATGCCCTATTAAAAATTTGAATATAGCTAAAAATGAAAGGTTTTGAGTATTTTTGTTCACTAATAAATTATTCCTAATTTTAAGAAAACCTTTGAGCTAGAAGGCATATAATAAATTTCCAATTATCACAGTAAGTAGATGTTTAGAATCATACAACAAATTGTGCTTTATCTTTATTAACACTCAAAAGTCTAAATAGAAAACAAAAACTTGCAAGTATCTTATAGAATCAAACCAAAACAAATAACCAAACGATGACAATTTTTTTCGTTCAATCAAAAATAATAACAGAAAACGATAAATTCATCTCCTAACTAGTAGTTAAGCTTTTCACCGTGGGTGGAGCGCTGCACCCATTTGGTAGGAAAGTGTTTACATTTTGAAACGCTCTAGAAGAAAAAAAGTTTCTTTGTGATAAAAACTGTGCTTTTAAATACAAAAGAATGTTGAAACGAAACAATAATCAGTGATTTAAACTCCTCCTGACAGAGGCAATAACTTTGTAAGAATTTTAAGTTTCATTCTTTAATGTTTAATTGATATATTTTAACCACAGAGAAATATACAAAGAGTTTTCACTTTTATGCTGGAACACGTAAAAAGGCGACGCTTTTCATTTTTCAAAATGGCAACGTTACTCGACCTAATGAGTTTAGCGCCGCCATTCGCTCGAAAGCTTAACTAAAATTTATTTTAATATTCGCGATCGCAACGCTCGAGTACGCCCTCTAGCGAGAGCCTGTAAATATCGGACATTAAT